TTAATTTATCAAAGAGTTCATGGAGATATTTTTTTCCCCAAGTGAACAAAGAAACAACAAAGTAGTAGAGGGGTTTTTTTCTAGCATGCTATCTTAATGCTCATTTAAGTGGTGATGAAAGAAATCTTGCACTGTGAAAGGGACACTGAAATCCTTCCTTATGAGTCTGACAGGTATGTGATTGCAGATGCCTGCTGTATGATATGACCATCATGTTTGCCTTGAGTTGAGCGTGGTGGCAAAAATATGGAAGTGGTTGGCCTACAACTGGGTATTTCTTGATGATCATTCATCAGGTCCAATCCTGATTATATTAAACCTGCCTGTCAGATTTGTCCTTATAGACTTGGAAAAGCAAGGGTCATGAAGTGAAAATGGTATAGAAATGGTTTTAGAAAAGTAGGGAGAGATGTTTAGAACAGAGAGGTTGCCAAAGAAGAAGCTCAAAAAGTAAAGAGAAGCAGATGAGCCAAAAATCAAGGGGAGCATTAGAGTGGAAAATGTTTTTCAAATGATCCTCAAATGAGGATCCTCTTGAAACAACAGATTAAAAGAATTAATAAATGATCCAATTTTTCAATCAGCAATTGTTATATAATAATTTATGGCTTATAATTTGATTATTTGATTGATACCACTGAAAATCTAGCGACATATAAGAGCTATTTTTCATCAAATGCCATATGGTAGGTTTGAGCTGTATGTTTTGAACTAGACTTTTATGCAGGTGTAAACAAAGCAAATAGCAGAGCTGTTGCCTTGACCTATTTACCTTTGTCCATCCATTGTGTGTAACTAAATCTGAAGATTTCTTGCATAATGGAATCCAGACAAAACTTGGAGTCAGCAGAAAATACACACAAAAAGGAACCCTATAGAAATAATTTTTCTGCTAAGCATAACTTAGCATTTATACGGGCAATAAAGAAAAGACAGAAGCTAAATAAGAAGTGATTATAGTTTTATATAGAAAAAATATATAGTCAAACTCATTCATTTTTAGTATTCACATTTGTCAATAGATATCCAATCACTATTAATTTTTTTATCATTTTATTATTTAGTATTTTAGTATTTATTTGATTTGTCAATCGCTTACAAGATACAGGTATAAGAATGAACATAGTTTTGAATACATCAGATAGATACTTATAAGAAAAATAAAAATAAACAATAGGACAGGGACAGTAGGCATGATTGGTGCGCTTATGCACGCCCCTACAGGCCTCTTAGGAAGGGGGTGAGGTCAATAGTAGACAGTCTAAGGTTAAATTTTTTGGGGTTTAGGAAAGAAACTACAGAGTCAGGTAGAGTATTCCAAACATTGACCACTCTGTTGCTGAAGTCGTATTTTCTGCAGTCAAGTTTGGTGCGGTTAACCTTGAGTTTGTATCTATTGTGTGCTCTTGTATTGTTATGATTGAAGCTGAAGTATTCATTTGCAGGTAGGATATTGCAATGTATGATTTTATATACTATACTTAGATCGGACCTGGAGGTGGCGTAGTTCTAGGTTTTCTAGGTCTAGAGTTTCAGGTCTGGTGGCATAAAGTATTCTGCAATGAGTAGAGGAGCGGAGAACACTTCTTGTGAAATATTTCTGGACTTTTTCAATTGTGTTAATATCAGATACATGATATGGGTTCCAAACTGATGAGCTGTATTCAAGTATAGGTCTAGCAAATGTTTTGTATGCTCTAGTTAGTAGTGTGATATTACCAGAGAAGAAGCTACGTAGGATTAGATTAAAAACTCTTAATGCCTTTTTGGCTATGTAGTTACAGTGGGTTCTAGTACTTAGATCATTAGAGATGAGTACTCCAAGGTCCTTGACAGAGTTTGGATCCTCAACAAGGTCTTGACTATTTAGCTTGTATTTTATTTTCTGATATATTTTTTTTGCCAATATGTAAGACAGAGCATTTATTTGTTGAGATTTGAAGTTGCCATTTGATTGACCATTCTGATACATAGTCAAGGTCTTTTTGGAGGGTAGCAGTATTGTTTGTGGTGTTGAATAGCTTTACATCATCAGCAAAGAGAACACAGTTGCTCTTAATATGATCACAGAGGTCATTTATGTAGAGTATGAAGAGAGTTGGTCCTAGAACACTGCCTTGGGGGACACCACTGTTGACAGGTACAGAATTTGATAGGACGCTCCCAATTTTGACCAGTTTTTGTCTGTTTGACAGGAATGCTTCTATCCAGTTATGTAGGTGTCCAGAGATACCATAAGATTTTAGTTTTAGAAGTAGTTTGCCGTGTACCACTTGAATCAAAGGCTTTACAGAAGTCTATGTAGATTGTGTCTATTGCTTTGCCCTGATCGAGTTGTGTAGTCCATATGTTTTGCAGTGTAAGAGTTGCAGATTACAGGATAGTTTTTTTCTGAAACCAAATTGTTTATTAGAGAGCAGGTTGTTTGTCTCTAAGTGGAGGATAATGGATTGGTTAATCATTGATTCCATGACTTTACAGGTGACGCA